CAACAACGTGATTGTCATTGTGTGTTCATGGGACAAAACAATTGTGGGTGTTTATGGGACAACAACAACGTAAATATTTTCCATTTTCCATGGACGGTTAACATGCTGATGGTTATGAAGGGTCATTTGTCAAAATTGCATGTTTAAGTAAATGGTTATTTTATAAAATCATATGCATGTGCGTTACACATGCAATTATTTATTACAACAAGTTTTCTGGGTTATTCAATTATATGGTTTCTAGGTTATTCAGTTATATGGTTTGATTGGTTATGTAATTATTAGTTCACGTGCTATTAGATTTGGTATTTGAAATAACAATTAGTCCATGTATGTAATGTTAGACAGTAACCTGAATGTTATGTGAATATAACTTCTATCACGTTACACAACAACATAAATATCTGACATTTATGTAGCAGTGTTATGTTGAATAATATACAGAAGTCATGATTGTTCATGATAGTTGGAAGTCAAACAATACCACCCATTCAACATACCATTGTATGCTTTTTGTTTGGGTTACAAATATTCTCAAAAGTCATAACTTTTGGAGTTTAAACCAACAAATCGACATGTCTTTTTGGATTTGAACCAATAGTCATGTCTCTATACAGAGTCATGTATACACCCGTAAGTAGGCTTTGTGGTCTCTGCACCAAGAGTTATGCATATGGTATCCTAAATGTCTTCGATTATAGACTCATAGCAAACTCAATTAGAGTGTGGGTGATTATTCTAAAAAATAATTACATGACTGATATAAGATTCATAATTCAATTTTAGTCCCAAGATTCTTTTTATAGCATGTATAAATTGTATAAAGTTTGAAATCTAATTTTGTGCCTTAGTAATCTTTCATAAATATTAATTAGTTATGTCATGCATCACTATTTAAATATTTTATATCTTTATTGATATACATGGCATAATTAATGATTAAATATTTAGTCTCATAGCATATATGAATTGTGAAATTACACATGTTATTGAAATTATATACATAATTATGCACGTGTCTCATGTTTCATATTATTGCATAATATGTATATAATATTTTGATTCATTCAGGAAAATTGAATCATTTTGCAATCCTAAGCACAAGTGTCATTAAGTTTGATCGAGTGTTTAGTCATCAAAGTGGCACACTCATGAAAATTTTAATGATATTTGTAACTAGTGACAAAATTATTATTTTGTTAAAGTTAAAAGATTGTGTTGGCGTTTAGCAGAGACGAGCAGTGATCAAGCCCAAAGGTGGGTCATTGAGTTTGTCTAACTAAACGAATTGAGGTAATTGGTATAGAAGACATAACTGATGACTCATTACGCCCAAAGGAGTATAAGTTGTTATTATGTTTTCTATAACTAATTAGTTTCAAAGGTGAAAGTTATTTCACCAGTAGGAGACTAATATATGATAATTTTGGCCCAAAGGAAAGATTATTATATGCTATGTTGATCCCATTTAGAGTTAATTGTTTTGACATATTATTTAATTAACTCTGGAGAGTTTAGTAGACATTCCCATCAATTAAACTGTAAATGTGTGGCCTTAGTTATTCTCAAAGTCAGTGGGAGTAAAATTAATCTTTAGTGTTAAATATGTGGATGACAGTGACATTATTGTACATGAGATTAAACAACTTAACTTTTCAAATATTTGAGATGAAGGTGTTGGTGAAACCTCTTTATTGGCATTAAGTTTCACCTAAATGAATCTTGTGAAATTCTTGGATTGTCACAAAGAACATACTTAGATAGAGTTCTAAAAGTACTTGACATAAAACACTATAAAGGTGAAATTGCACTAATTGTAAATGTGAGAATTTGTTATTCCAATGGTCGAAAAATACCTAAAACAAAATTAGATAAAAACAAAAAAGGCATTTCCTATGCCTTTGGGAACCTAATGTATGCTCAGGTTTTGTATATGGTGAGCTATAATATAGCATTCACTAGGCAGATATCACATTGATCCTGGTTTGGATCTATAGTGAGCGGCAAAGAAATTTATAAGGTATGTGCAAAGGATTAAGAACCATATATTTTATAATAAGACCGATATGTTTAGAGTAGTGGAAAAACTGACTTTGCTTGTTGTCATGACAGTATAAAATTCACTTTAAGTATTGTTTTACTATTATGATAAGTGATAGAAGCGGATTTTATTTGCATGTTATAAGGCCACGTTTCATGCATTATAAAATATCAGTTTTGGACTTCAGGTCAATAATTCCGCTACAGTCTAGTAGTTAAAGAAACAACAAGAGTTCAAGTTAGTCTAACATATGACCGTTAATACCTTGTTATGAAATAGAGGAATCAGAACCAGCTACTGTTTGATTTAGCACACTGATACACAACAAAATATTGTTGATCCCATGACTAAGGGTTTGCCACTAATGTTGTACAGTAAGCATGCATATTTCTTTTTGACAACTAATTTTCTTAGTTAGTGGGAGGTTGTATTTGGCTCAGGTAAAGACAGTTTTATTTTGTGATCACATTTTTTTATCCCTATTTAAGTACTAGATTTTCCATATTAGTGCACGTGTACGGAAAATTTGTGACTTAAGTGTCCAGTTTTGAGACACGGTGTGTCCTTAATGAGACACGGTTGGACCGATGCATGACATAAATATGCGGTATATATGTGACTTTAGAGTTGAGTTTGTTAATATCAGTGACCATTAGTGTCTTATATTATTAATGATATAATGACGCCCTTGATCCCATATTAGTAAACTCGAAGGTACTCCAAATTGATGGTAGAGGTGTTTCTTATAAATATACGGATTAACTTCTGTAGTACACTCAATGATCATTTTGATATAGAAGTGATTGTAATTAATTATTGTTAGACTAAGTGGGAGAATGTAAGAAAATTAGTAGTCTATTAATAATTAATTAAATATATTGTTTATATACGCATATAAGAAGGGTTGCACCCTTAGAATGAATAGTCACATATAAAGAGTTGTATCGGTTGATGGAACCAACACATCTCTTCACGTATGAATTGAAACGGTCCCAACCCTCACTATATATATGCGTAATAGTTCTGGAGTCCATCATCTAGTTTTGCAAACATAGAAAAGGGTTGAAGATCGTTTCCGCTGTAATATCTTCAAACTGAGTTTCTATATCTGGTATGTCTCTTCTTATCAAGTTTATGCATTTGATCCCTCAGTTCTATTTATGTTAGATATTTCTTACATGAAATTGTGGCTGTTAGGTAGATTCGGTGAGAAGGGTTTAACACAAGCTTATGATTAACAAGAAATCATGGGTGGACCTTCTGCAAGTTTTAGGATACTGCATCTTTTCTCCTGCGATGCTGTTGCCACCATAGCCTATAGTCTATAGACTTTGGCTTTGTTATTGCATGTCATCACTACATTGTTATTGTTTTCATTTTTTACTACTTTTATAGAAAATCAAGGAATGAGTTGGTTTTAGCATATACACAAGTAACACAACCATATTAGCAGACCACAACAGATGATAATATGAGATGACATAACTTGGTTTTGCATAGTTAAATGTTGAACAACTTTCTGAGGTGATATCATATATAATTTTTATTCCATTTCCTAATACCCTTTTGCCATTGGTTGAGCAGCACAGGACCTCAAGTGTTTCTTTCTGTCGGCATTCTATCACGTAGATAAATCTCACCTGTTCTACAACATGATGTCACTTTTATGGAAGGGATCCAATTGGAGACCTTGAGGGGGAGTTTTAAATTTGCTTCTATAGTTGTTGCACTTCTTGGTATGTCCCAGGGCATAACACTGATACTGGCCAAATCCCTTATGTTTTTTGATTTTGGGAGAGCTTATTACCAGGAATATGTTGTTGGATTTTTTGGTGTCCTCTTTGCCGTGAAAGTTGTACTCAATTCCCAGTCAGAGAACTACACTTACATCCATGGACTAATGATACCCTCACGTTATGCTGCATGGGCCGAATTGATTCTCATCCAAATGCTTGTTCTTGGTGTCTTTTTCCTGGGCCACGATGGTGGAATACTTGCTGGTATTCTCTATCTCCGGGTTAAGGCTTTATATTTAGGCGGGGATCCACTAACAATTATCCTTGGAGGTTTTTCCATTTGTATTAAACTGGCCTCTGAGGCTCTTGCGGAACTTGTGTGCAGTGGCAAATTTCTAGTAGGAGACCATAGGTGGGAGGCAGATGAATACACCGAGCATTTGGACATGCCGAGCTTGTATGTTCGATAATTCCAGTTGGTTAAGTGTGTGTGAGATGTGTGCCACTAATCGTGACAATGAGCTGAGAGATTTGGTAGATGATTCTTCAAGTCAATTTGGACAGATGTCTCTGAACAATAGAAGATCAAAAACCTCCAAAATGCTCGTCTCATTCTTAGAATGAATAGCAGTGGTGATAGCCCTGGTTGCGGTCAGGTTACCTTGCTTACTCGGGGCTAGACCCGAACACCTTTCGAGTCGCGCATACGACGTGATACCGGATTAAGAATTGGGTCTGACTCTGATACCAATTGTAAACTTAAGCTGTTGGGTAATGCTGTATACCCATCCATTTATACACACTTTAACTCCATCCAAATCCGACGTGGAATTCCACTTGAAACACAAGAGTACCTCAAGATAATTGAAGTTATAAAAAAAAATTTAGGAATGCATAAAAAGTTGATAAATCAAATTGGTCGGCTTGGCTTAGTGGAGATTTTAAAATTTTCAATTTTTATTTTTTATTTTTACATACTCGTAAATGATTCCATTTTGGTTTCGAATTTTATAGAATCAAATTGAACTAAACAGTTCTTTCATGACTCGGCTCCATGAATTTCAGAGTTTGATTTTAATTTTATTTTTAAAACTCTTAGGTTTCATTTTATTTTTATTTTTAAGTGTTAGGCTCCATCAAATTTCAAAATACTAATAATTTGGTCCTATTCGGCCTCAGAAAAATTAATTATATCAACAATTTAGCATCGTGAGTGGGGATGAGGCCCTGAGGGTATTATCCGATATATTTATAGCCAGCCAGCGGTAGCAGCAGTATAGTAGCTCTTTCTTCATGGTCAGCTCCTCTGCTAAACTCTTTTGAGTGAATGTGTGTGCTTTAATTGTGTGAACGATAATCAAAATGCCGCTGCTGGCTAAGGCTCCTCCTATAAACTTGTCAGAACGCCTCAATCTCACCTGCTGCTGCTATTCGCCTCCTCCTCCTCCTCTTCCCTTCCACAGTTTCTGCTCAAGAAATGGAAATGGAAAAGGAAACCTTTTCATCTCTCAGTTTCCGCAGAGACGGACTAGAGTTGGAGTTGTGATCAGAGCTGGTTATAGTCGGAGGCCCATGGATACTCCAGGAGCTTATCAGCTCATCGACGACGAGACAGGTGAAAAGGTCATCGTTTGGGGAGGAATCGACAACGCTCATGATCAATCTCCTATTCCTTCCAAGGAGGTTCTCTCATGGAGTAGGAGATCAACCACCACCAACGACAACAACACCACCACCAACCCAGGTTATTTCAATTTTCTTCTTCTTTTGTTTTGAAATTGAAATTGAAATTGAAATTGGAATTTTTATTTTTTATTTTTCATGTTAGGAATTGATGTCAAATTGCAATTTTTTAGTATATGAGGGAGATAGATACACACCTCCCACTCCTTTCCTTTGTTCAGGAATATAGATTGTTTTAATTTCACCTTATATTGGAAAGCCCTCAGTGACTTCTGTTTAGATGCACAGGGGGTGCATGAGCACACACAGGTAGGTTATGATAGGATCATATGTCCTTCATAATCCACCTACATTTTTGATAATGTTATTGGGGTTGGACAGACACATGAATTTTGTTTCATCACACTCTGCTTAAATCATATTTTTCTTCAATTTCTCAATCAAACTTAAATTTCGTCTTCCCTTCCCCCTAACGTTATCCTCGATGTGATCACTATACCATTCTTTACTCTCTGTAGTTATTGAATATTGCTGCATATGGCCAAACCATATACTAGTTGTTTGTTTGTTTATATTTTTTTCCTTGTTTAATTTCCCATGGGGACTACTTTAACCTGTTTCATAAATGTAACTATTTCTGAAAAAAAATAAAAAAATTCGACCACATATCCATCTTAACATTGCATTTACACTACACTTATCTTATAAACACGTTATTTCTTAATCACTCAATATTTGGTTTCAAAATGTAGTAGTTTTTATATGCTTATCATCGTATATTTAACAAACCTATATTAGCTTTGAGAAGGACTAGATAGGCAGCCGGTGTCACTTAAATAATTAATATATGTACTGTAACTTCTTGCTGACACTTAAAATACTTGTTAAGTAACTATTGATATTGACTGTCAAACTTGTTGGCAAAACTCAGACTACTTGCTAAGCAACTACTAATTACTAACATTGACTGTTATACACATAACAATTATTCAAATAATTTAAACATGCCCTCCATTTACATGATAGTTGTCAAAATCCAAACAAATCCAGTTTGCCACTTTTTCACCTAGATGCTTTACATCATTAATTTTAAACCATTGAGCCTAGCCATAATCTTGAAAAGGGTGATTAGGAGGACTGGTCTACCACAGTCCTTGCCAAGGTCCTCAAAGTGAACGCCTAAGTTATTGATCTGGTAACCTTTCATTCAACTAGGATTCAGTTGTTTTTCAGATCCACATAAATGCTAAAACACTGATTTAAACCAATGATATGCATTTCATTTTTCTCATTTAATCCTGGAGCCAGATAGTTTATTTCCAAATGGAACTTCTTCTAAAGAGTTTTAGAAAGTAAAACTTTCAGGTGCATTTATCTTAGCATCACATATCAGTCTTTGAACTTCGATTATTCTATGCTACACACTGTTCTAAAGTTCTTTCGTTTTGACAGCATTTAACAGGGGATTAACAGGAAGTTTTGGAAGACTAAAAGCTCAGAGAGTAAGAGATCTTGTCAAACGAACTTATCGGACGAAGCAAGGTGTCAACAAGCTTGATTCTGATGGACTTATTGTAGAAGATGCTGCTTCTCACAGATCTATCGATTCACACTCAGAACCTGAATTCTTGGAGAAACATAAGAGATTAGATGTTCCTAAAGATGGAAAAAATGTTTTAAGAGCCTCCCTATTGCAAGAAACCAAAGATATGATGCAAAAAGTCATGACAGGAAAAGAGTTGGACCACTCCAAGATATCTATAAAACATGGAGTTGAACAATTGTCGAATTATCAAACTACAGCAACAGAATCTCAAGAGTTTGATAATCAAATGATAGAAGCAGATGCTTCTGTTTCAAGAGTTTCTGCGGCTTCCTTAAGAGGATGGGGTAATGGAGAGTCAATAAAGAACCTAAGGTCTAAGCAAATGGACAATTTAAGCCAAGGGCAGAAATTGACAGCTGACAATGATTTTTTTAGTAGAAAGTCCTTTAGAGATCTGGGGTGCAGTGACTACATGATTGAATCTCTAAGGGGTCAGCTTTTCTTGCACCCTTCGCGTATTCAGGTACGTAACACAATATCTCAATAGAGCATCACCATCGTGATTAACATTAATAGTGTTTTGAATGGATAAAAAAGAAAGATCGATTCCATAGCTCGTGGGGTAGAATTGTATTGGTCCATATTATAGAACTTGTCTGGTCCATAAAATATTCAAATATGTACTAGTATGCACTTTGCACATGTGGGGGAGGGGAAAACACAGAGGGGTTGGAGCTATCCACTTCCAACACTTTCCACTCTCGACATACTTGTAAATCTTTTTTTATTTACTTTTTATTTTTTATAGACCATACTTTGTGATCCAAATCATGTACTTTGTTTTGCTGATAGTCCGATCTTTGAGTTGGTTAGCTTTAATAAAGTGTATAGGATTATATGTGATGATTTGTTGGCTATGTTTGATGTCTCTGTTGATTATAATATTGCATTACCGATCTTGGGATGTTGCTGTGTGTCAGATATTGTGCATCCATGCTTACTATCAGTTACCCATGTGATGTACGGAAAAGTAACAAAAAGATTTGTTGCATAAGTGATTGTAGCCTTTACCATACAGTGCACTTTGGTTTTAACCAATTTATTGCATTCAAATAGCTCAGAATGTAGTATTATGTTGAAGGATTAACTTTTACATTCTAGACTTTCAGATTATACATAAATTTGATTCAATGTTCAAATATTCTTAAATTACAATTTTTGGACCTTTATATCCATTGAAATAAGGAAAATGTCGTGACACTATTAGAATCTAATTAGTTCCACTTCCCCATGACTATTAAAAACATGACTATCAAAGTTCGAAGTGTTAGAATGCTTTCGTTTTGTCAAATTTTTATTTGTTCAAAATTTGAAGATTTAGAAAAAAATTTATTTAAAGCTTTTTTTTTTTTTTGAGACATATAATTCACTTCATTATTTTAGTATAATTTTCATTCTTATTACTTATCAAGTATTCCATTTTATGTATCTTCTTCTTTGAAAGCAAAAGAAGAATTAATGTGTCCCTCCTTTTTTACTACACAAGCAATGATAAATTTTAGTATTTTAGGAGAATAAAAAACTTTACGAACTAATTCTTTTTTATTTTATTTTATAAGGTAATATGTATTAGGACTTCTTTAGTTTTTCAATCTTAGTGTTTGAGGTAAGAGGGCGTACTCGATTAATCAACAAATCCTAAACCACTCTCATATCCTATAGGTGTGTAGTTATCCTTCCATTATCTAATTTTTCAGTTCCGTTCATGAAATTTCAAATAGAGTCTTTCGATTTTGCTAAATCAATTACAAGTTTTCAATTTTAAATTGTTGGAAATCATATCCATAAGTTGACTCAATGATTGTAGCAGATTTATTGGGTCTTCAATATAGGATAATATTTAGGGATTTTATTTTTATTCTAATTTGATTTTATTCTCTTTATTCTGATTTGATTTTATTCTCTTTCCATATTTGTAATTTTCCTCTTGTATATAATGATAGTCAGACTCTCAAATTGAGTATGCCAATTTTACCAAGTTACTTTTTGGTATCAGAGCCTTAAACCTTCGCCTCCCCCCTCTCTCTCTTTCACCGCCTCTTTTAATTTCTTTCTCTATCTCGTCACAGCCCATTCCCTATTTCTTTTTTGTCCTTTTCTTCACAGACCCTCTCTCTTTTTTAGGCCGCTGTTGCGACAGTCCTAGGGAGAGCCAATCTCCTCTAGGTTCGACCCCTGTAGGGGTATTCTCTTAATCTTTTTCATGCACTAAGGGTCAGAAGACATGTTTGTAATTTTTTGGGGCTGCCGGGATATTCGGCAGCATTTTCGAATCAGACCGCCGTGTCTCTGGCTTCTTGGTTTGATCAAAATCAGGTTTATTCCTCCTTTATTTGAAATTATTGGTAATCTGTTGAATAGTTCTATTTAATATTATGGCTGTATCAAGTAATAATAAAGAAACTCTCTTTTTGGCGCAACACACACCAGCTCAACGAGTTACTAGTGTGCTGTTGAATGGCTGTAATTTTGCATCCTTGGCTCGTTCCCTCCGCCTCTATGTTGGTGGAAAAGGCAAATCAGGGTGGATTTTGGGTACTGAAAAGATGCCAGATATTAAAGATCCTAAATATGCTCAGTGGGATATGGACAATTGCACCATTTTAGGATGGATGTTTAATTCTATGGAGGAACGCATTTATAATATATTCATGTTTTATAACTCTGTTAATGACTTGTGGACTGCTTTGAATCAAATGTATGCTCATTCTAGGAATGATGCTTGTATTTTTGAATTATACCAAGATATTGCTTAGGCCTCGCAGGAAGGCCTGAATTTGTTTGTAGCTGATTATTTTGAGTATTTGAGATCTCGCTGGGAGGAACTAGCTCAATATGAGCCTCTCAGTGAATTTCCTTCCGAGGGAGCCTCTCTTCTTGTCAAACGTCTTGATCGTCAGCATACCTATCAGTTTTTGATGGGATTACGCTCAGAATTTGAACCACTAAAGTCTCAAATCTTGAATGCATCACCAATGCCATCCCTGTTGGAAGCCTTTGCTACTGTTGATGCAAAGCATGCAGGCACCGTTTAATTCAGCCCTCACTTGTTCCTCTACCAGTGTCTGAGCCTGCTGGGGATAGTATTGCTTTTGCAGCCAACTTTGGATCACGAGTTTCTGGAGGTCAGATTATTTGTCACCATTGTGGAGGGGTTGGACATGTTAAGGCTCGTTGCTTCAAACTTCATCCTGAACTGAAGCAAAAATTTTCTAGGAACCGTTTATCTGGAACTGGTTCTTCTCGTACTGCGGTTGTTCCAGAAACTCCTATTATTACTGGTGGATCTATTGTATTTCCTAAACTGAGCCAGCTTCAGTCTTAGATTGGGCAGATCCAGGACCAGCTTGGCTCCTTTGCTTCTAGTGTTAGAGCTCCTTCAGCTGCTTCCACTGCCACTATTGCTACAGGTACTCCTACTGCATTTCATGTTAAGGCCAAGCAGCTGGTTCTGGATTCTGGGGCTAATGATCACATGACTAGTGAGTTATCAGTTTTTTCTTCTAATGTCATACCTGTTACCCAATCTGTGTATCTTGCGGATGGCTCTACATCTTACATTCACAGTAAGGGTGATGTTTGTCTATCTCCTGATATTATTCTTTCATCTGTCCTTCATGTACCTAAACTTGCCTTTAACCTTTTATCTGTTAGCCGGCTTGCAAATAACCTCCAATGTGCAGTTATATTCTTACCAGATCACTGTTTGTTGCAGGACCTTTGTTCGAAGAGGATTTTTGGCAGGGGTTATGAGCGTGATGAGCTTTACTACTTTGGGGAACCACCAGGAACGAGTTTTCAAGCTTCTGTCCTACCTACTTCTAGTGTTTATGATGTTTCTTTTCGCACCTTTAGTCTGTGGCATGCACATTTGGGGCATGTAAACTTTCAGTATCTATGTCTATTGTTTCCTTCGTTAAATAAAGCATGTAAGGACCATAAGTTTCAATGTGAAGTTTGTGAGCTTTCTAAACATACTAGAACTAGCTATATTTCTCATATAAGTCGTGCTCCTAGTATGTTTGATCTTATTCATTCTGATGTCTGGGGCCCTTCCCCAGTTATTACTTTCTCTGGACATCGATATTATGTGACATTTATTGATGATTGTTCTCGTTGTACTTGGGTTTATTTATTGAAAAAGAAATCTGATGTGTTTCTTTTATTTACCCAGTTTCTTTAAATGATCAAAATCTAGTATAACACTGTTGTCCGTAATATTTGTTCTGATAATGGATGAGAATATGTTTCGAATGAGTTCCGGATTGAACTTAATAAAAAGGGGATTTTACATCAACTCACTTGCCCCTATACTCCTGAGCAAAATGGCGTGGCTGAACACAAAAACCGTCATCTTATGTCTGTGGTCCGATGTCTTCTGAGTGGTATGCATGTGCCTAAATTCTATTGGCACATGGCTGTTCTTACAGCTGCTTTTCTGATTAATCGTACTCCAAGTCGAGTTTTGGGTGGTAAGGCCCCACTTCAAATTCTCCAGCCTGATTATACATTGTTTCACCTTCTGCCTCGTGTTTTCGACTGCACTTGTTTTGTTCATAACCGTAGTCCTTCTTGTCATAAACTTGACGATTAATCTATTAGGTGTATTTTCTTGGGGTATTCTGCTATGTCAAAGGGTTATCGTTGTTATGATCCTGTGACCAAACATATGTATCATTCTCTTGATGTGACATTTCATGAAACTGTTCCTTTTTATAGTACTAATTCTGTGGTACATGATTCTCTCTCTTTTGATTTGGAGAAGGAGATTTCTCCTATTGCCCGTCCTGTTCCTCTTTTTAAAAATCACACTGTCCTGGAATCTCCTTCTCCATCCATACAGGGTTCCCCTCCACCTTTGCAGGTCTACTCTCGTCGCCATCGCACTCAACCTCCCCTGCCAGAATCATCTTCAGAACCAGGTCCAGGTAACTCTCCTTCTCCTATGGCTCCTACCATTCCTGAGCATACCTCCCGTTATCCTACCTGTGATCATCACCCTCCTAATTGGTATGGTTTTTCTAGTAGCACTAACCACCCTATTTCCCAGTATGTCTCCTATGATGGTCTTTCAGGTGCATATAAATCATCCCTGGGCAAGATTGGGACCGTTTCTATTCCTCGATCCATGTCAGAGGCCCTCCAGGATCCCAATTGGGTGTCTGCCATGACAACAGAAATGGATGCTTTACAACATAATAATACATGGGAACTTGTTGCTTTACCTGCTAGGGAGAAAACGGTTGGCTGTAAATGGGTCTTTAATGTGAAGTACTTAACCGATGGTTCTATTGATCGGAACAAGGCTCGGTTGGTGGCAAAAGGCTTTGCTCAAATTCCGGGCAAAGACTTTAGTGCTACCTTTGCTCCTGTGGCAAAGTTGACGTCTGTGCGACTGCTTATCTCCTTGTCTGTTGCCCATTCTTGGCCTCTGCATCAGTTAGGTGTCAAGAATGCATTTCT